AAAACTGTATATAATTTTGAATGCAAGTTAATAGATGAACAATGTTCTCAGAGGCACTATAGCATCTTGAACACAAATAGTTTGGATATTTTTTTCTATTTCTCCAATGCAGTAGTAGATAAGTTGAAAGTTCTTCAGATAACAGTTTAATCTTAAAATTTTTGATTACTGAAGATGATAAGTTAGTGTTTAATGCTAGTGGTTTTTCTTTATAAGAAATGTATTTTAGTATAGAAGTCCAATTAATATTGTTTTGTAATATGTGCTAGCTTGAAATTTGTTATTAATAAAACTATAACAGCTGGTTTGTAATTTGATGTATATGTTTTAAAGTAGTTTTTAAAAGGTATTCACATAGTTTGTTAAGAAGTCTTGGAACAAAGCAGTTGTATAAAAAGCATTGTGATGCTGGATTTAATAAGAAAATTATACTTGTAGTTTCTTTAATTTTTATATCTTGATCTAGAGTAATATTGAGTTGCTGATTACATGAAAGTGCTTTTAGGATTAGAAAAAGATATATATGCTAATGCTTGTCTAGTGCAAAATAGTGTGAGGTTTAATAGAAGTTACCAGATTGATATATATAATAAAGGTAGAATTGTCTGTACAGCTGTTTACTTCTGTATATAAATTGATTGTAGTAAGGATAAAGTTTAGTAAATTAAGTATTGTGCTTATGTGTAAAGGCCATTGGTTAGTAAAGCAACCAAAACAGGTGTTGGTGTTTTGTATATAGCATTTTGCTATTATTTGAGAGTTGTTGTTTACTATTTGTTAGTTGAAGGTTAATTGAATTATTAATGTTTTAGTAGTAAAGTTAGCTTCTGTTAGTGTTTTTTAGAGGTTAATTGGTAGGTTTTTAAAAAACATAAAGGTCTTTCTAATATTGGGCTTGCATCTTGTATTTGTTCTTGAGTTACAGTTATTGATTTAGTATAGTTTAGTGCCTTTTTAAAATCTGCAATGTCTAAGTAGATTTTCTTTTTACAGTCTACTTGTAAGTTGTATAGTGATTTTGTTACATTAAAGTAGCAATGCTTGAAGTGATATAATCGATTCTTTAGATTACAGCTTGCATATGCTGATATTATGTTGTTTGGCTTTAGAATGTAATATCAAGCTTTAAGAGCTTTGTTGTGCAGATTATGTATTTTGCCAATAATAGAATTATCTATAATTATTCAACCTTTTTCTTTAGGGTTTCATTAAGACAAGGTGTAAGGATTTATGTATAAAAATGTTAATGAAGAATTAATTGAGGCTGCTATTAAGTCTTGAACTATAAAAAACCAGTGTAGACAGCATCCTCTTGGTATCTTTTTAATGTTATGATGAAAATTGTTTCATTCTAGAAGCTCTGAGTTGGTTGCATTTAGAAATTGTTTTATGCTAGCAATGTTATGATTATTTAGCTTTCCTTTAAGATAGTATGCTCTAGGATAATTTAACAGAATTTGGTTTATTAAAGTTTCAGTAAAAGTTTTTGGATAAGGCCAGTTGTCACCATTTTGTAAGGTCTATAAATTTAAGGCATGAAGTGTAAGTACCATTTGGCTAATTTGTGTATTTAATTATAAAGTTGAAAAAACTAGAAGTTGGGTGAAGATAGAAGTATTAATGAAAGCTGAGTCTTGTAATTGTTGTAGTTGTAGCTTTAAGAAGAAGGAATCGAAACTGTAATAGTTTAAATTTTTCTGGAGTACTGTTACTAAAGAAGAAAGTTAAGCCTAAGCTAGGTTACTTAAGGCATAGATGTCTGGGTTGAATAGAAATGAGTTTGGAACTCCCCAAGCCAGTCTTGCTTTATGTTTGACTAAACTAGTACAGATCTTGTTAAGTGTGCTAATTTGAGTATTAGAGAGAAATGTGGAGTGCAATCTATAAAGCAAGCATAGAAGAATAACACTATTTATTATATAAATTACTTGTTTTTCTGTTATATGGGCAAATTGTAGCTTTTTTAAGTTGATTGTTGTCTCAGCTATGATTTTTTTTTGAACAAATATTTGTTTTTTGTTAGTAGAGAACTATGCTTCTAGGTACTTAAATGGTGTTCTATTGGCAATCATTGTTAATTGTTCATTTTCAAAAGTTATATTATTATCTAAGTCTTTTGAGTTTGTTGCTAGAATTGACTTAGTAGAATTGACTTTTATATTAGCAAAATTATAAAAAGAAGAAGCTATATAGAGGATATTGGTAAGAGAAGTTTTGTTAGATGCAATCTACAGAGAGTCATTTATGTATGCTATTACTGAGATATAAATTTCTTTTGAGCAAGTAGATAGAATCTCTTCTGTAAATCTCTGTATTCTATATGAATTTTAGATATAAGAGAGTCATAATAGATCTTTCAAAGTAGTAGTAAGATTGTTTCTCTCTGATCTACTCCATTTTCAACAAAATAAGATTGAGTTGGTTCCAAACTAATAATTACTTTGTTTGTATGATGATGAAGCAAATATAATAGCAGGTTGATTGCTTTGTTGAGTATATATATTCTTTTGAGAGATTTGCATAGAGTTGGTATATGAATTGAGTCAAAGGCTTTTGACATATCCTAGGACAGGATTCAGATCTCTTTTTGGTTTATAGTTGCATCTTCTAGGATGTGAGTGAGTTGAAAGATAGGTTGGAGTGTTGATTGATGAGAAAAAGCTGCAAAGTTATGAGAGGAGAGCACTTGGTTTCAAACTAGGATGTTTGTCAAATAATTTGTTAAAATTTTTGTAAAGATTTTTCTAATATAGTCTATTAATATAATAGGATAGATAGTATTTAATTTGTAATTATATTGTTGTTTTTTAGAAATTGGCCAAATATTGGCCTGTAACTATTGGTTTGAGACTATTTTTTGTATTATGCAGCTTTTAAAGATATTTAGTAAAACTGAAAGAGCTGAGGATGGCAATTGCTAAAAAACTTCATTTGCAATTCCAGAGAGTCCAGTTGCTTTTTCTTTAGGAGCTAGATTTATTGTTTGTATCAATTTAGTCATTAAAATAGATGAAAGAAGAGTATTGTAAATATTTTTTTGTATATACTAAAGTAGAGAGTAAAATAGCTTCCATTTGTTCCATGATGAATTGTTAGGAGGGTTATTTTTTGTTCAGTTTTTGAAATAAGTGTGTACAGCTTCTTTGATTTCTTTTTGGTTAGTAATTACACTGTTAGATGTTATAACTTTTTCATAGCTAATAGGTTTTGCTCATGTTTGTAGAATACTATTTAGCATTTGACTAGTATTATCTTTAAAGTCAGAGTATCTGTGATTTATATAGAGCTTAATGCATTCAGTTTGTTTCTGTTTTTTTTCATAGTTGCATGTTTGCCAAATTGTATATTTATATTGTTTGACTTGATCTATAGTGTTTAACTGTAAATAAGCAAATTCTTCTTAAATAATAGGAATAATGCTGATTTCTGCTAAGGTAGCTGCTTTTGTTAAGTACTGATTAGCCTAGGCTATTGTATTTGTTGCTTTATTTGATAGTTGTTGTAGGCATTTGTTAATATTTTTTAGAGCTGCATAGAGTTTTGTTGCTTTTAGTGATATAGCAAAGAAAGGCTGTAGGGCTGTAAAGGTATAAGGGATATGTTTATTTATTGCTTATTTTATTTTTGATACCTAGTAATTCCATATTCTATTGATATCAATTTTATTCATATTTGGTGAAGAGGTTTCATTAAAATTGAATAATATATTTACTGAGTTTGCAAATTTGTTCCATGTATCTGCTGTAGTTTTTTTATATAATGCAAGAAGCCTAGAACTGACATCATGTAACTTATAACAATATATATAAATAAAATTATATCTAATTAATAAAAATATTATTTACCTAAAAAAAACACTCTATAGATTGATTATTTAGAACCTGAATTGCAATGTTATAGAGAGATTTTTTATTTTAACTTACTATTACTTATGTTATTAGCTATTAAAATCTTAGTGTTTTTATAGAACAATTCGAATTTGGCCATACCTTGTAATATACTGTAAATTAAGTTTTTATATTTAACTTAATTAATTAATTTTTCATTTATATTGTGTCAACACTATTTTTGGTTTCATTATTTGATATTGTAATTATTAAATGATATATATTTTTAAGTTAAATTTTATCTTATCTGATTTAACTCAGATAAGTTTCAGGATCATTATTTTTGATTTTTTTTTTTTATCTTGCATTTAAATAAATTTAGACAAATTCCACTTTGCTATGTTAGCAAAATATAATTATTAAAGTTTCTAAATGATATTTTAAATAGCCTCCAAACTAGTAATCATGATATTGTTTAATTATTAAGTAATTATAAGTGCCATAATATCTGTCAATTGTAAATGCAATTTATGATCATAAAATAAAATAGCAAAATATAAACAATATTAAATTGGATTTATTTATCAATTTATTACATTTTTTAGGATTATGTTTATCTGAAGTGTAGTTTTTATTAGCACACCCATTTAAACTTGACAAACCATATCTTGTTAACCCTGTTAAATGCTTCAAATTTATGTATTTTTAACTATTGATTGCCTGAATTATTTGCTAGCAAAATGTATTTATTTTATTTTTTTTTTTTTTCTTTTTTTTCTATCTTTTTTTTTAGACTCTAATTGCATTATCATGCATAGAACACCATATGACATGCTAGAAATGCAGATTTTAGTAACAATGTAACTTTATAAAAAAAAAGATCTAAACTACCATATATTGAAAAACTTACTTGTTAGATTATTTAATTTTCAATGAATTAAAATAATCTTCTTTAATTGAATTTTGTGAATTAAAATATTGTGAAAAAACCTATATTTTAAAAATAAAAAAATTCAATTATAAATAATATTTAAAGCACTTAAGAGCAATTTTACTATCTTGTAACAACAATTAAAGAACAATCTTTTCAGGAATCTGTTAATGTAATTTATATTTTTTTATAGCAAATTCAGCAGCAGCAAGTGACAATCTTTTTTTGTAAGCATTCATATATCACCATGCTCTTTTTGCGAACTTACGAATTGTTATAATGTCTACAGAAGCAAGAGCTTCTGGTACAATATTTTGCAACCCTTGAAATGTGTAATTGCAATAACTTCTTGCATATTTTTTTATTGCATCCAAAAATACTTAATATAGTTTAATTCTGAGTGGAATTTAGAGTAAAAAATAATTTTATAACCTTGACTATATATAATGTCTTCAAGAATATTTTTTTGTTCCATAAAATCTGGCTGTCTTGCTAACTTCCTTATATTACAACAGATCTTTTCTTCATCTTCTGAGCACTTAATACATTTGCCACTTAATTGTTGATCCCAAATATTCATTTCTTTCATTATTTATTTTATTCCTTTCAGTTTTCTTCTTTTTTTCACATTTTTATAATTAAGTAAAAAAATCATTTCTTGAGATGTACTATTAGGTAATTGACCAAAACACATTCATGATTGTTTGCCACCATATTTTACATTCATTCTGCTTGCTACTAATGCATCTTCTGCAAAAGCACCATGACTTGAACTATTATCAAATGCAAATACAAAAATTGTGCCTAGGAGTGCAATTTTCAAAACATCAATTATTCATTTAAGTTGTTTAGCAAGCAACTGAACATTCCAATAACCATCATGGTTTATACCAACTTCAAGTGTTTCTGTAATATATCTATTTGGAATTTCTGAGTAGACTAAATGTTGCTCTACAGTTAAATGAATATGTCTCAAAGATTCATATAAAAATTCACTAATGTAAATACACCTGCCTTATCTCTTTGAATGTAATTTTTGTTTACCTATTTGAAAAAAATATAAATAAATAATTAAAAATAAGTTTACCAAATAAATTAACCAAAAAACACAAACCTCTAGGCTCCCATCCAGTTTTTTTATTATCATTAGTAGCTAATATTGTCTTATTATATGTTATTATACAATGCAGTTTTTGATTAAGAGGAATATTTTTTTTAACTAATGTTAAATCATTCTCATCATATTCAATAAGGAGAGGTTCTAATTTAGCCATCATAGATAAAAAAAACTTTTGTCAGTACCATACTACATTCTCCTATTCATGCTCATTTACATATACATTTTTTTTCTATTCCTTATAACTCTACTCTAACTTTTTAAGCCATTCTAATGCAGTCTTTTCACTTATAGTTGTTTTTTTTCAATGCCTAAAGATAAAAATCTTTATTTTTTACAAATTCTTTTAGAACCTTAGAGTTCACACTAAACTTATTGCATCGTAAATATGACATTATCTATCTAAAAATAGAATCTTTAGTAAGCTACTAATAATTAGGAATTGCATTTAAAAATAAAAGAATTATTTATTTTTTTTTTTTTACCTTTATTAATATTTTTTCATCATTAATAAGGCTTGCTATTTTCACATGCTTGCTATGATTCTCTTTTGGTAATTTTCACCATCTCAATCACTTATTATTCTATGTATGAATACATCTTGTTTTGTAAGCTCCCCAGCCTAATAACCTAGCAATTGTTGCACTTGAATTTATTTTGGTCCAACCTTGATATCTCAAATGCAAATATTGCAATGCAGCTTGTAAATGAACCTTAGTTCCTTATCAATTTGTTTACTGTCTTTTTCTAACATATTGTCTAATTTCTCAATTGCTTGTTTTATATAGGCTTTATTATTATTTATATTTATTTCTACTGATTTAACTATTGAATCTACAGCATTATCAACTATTATTGTATCTCCATCCTTATTAATCACTATTGTATCTACAGCCTCATCAACCAAATTTGTCTCCATTAATTGCACTGCTGCATCTGCAGCTAAAAATTTATAAGTAGATGTTAAAGCAATATTAAACCTTAAAGAATTGATTAAAGATAAATAAGAAGTAATAGATTTTATATATTGTGCTACTTTTTTTAGTTCAGCTTTTTTTTGTCTTAATGTTCTTCAGAATTACTATAATTATAAATAGGTCTACCTGCAACTTTCCAAAAATTATTATTCTTAGCAGCTGCTAGTAAAACTTCAAAGTAACTATCAGCTTTTTTATCGATTTCTTTATCTACCTAAATATGATCATCAAGTTCTTCATCAACTAATTCATAATCTAATAAATTATTAGATTGATGCATTGTCTTATTTTTTTTAAACATGCATGCTCAGCTTTTGATTTTTTCACAGCCTCAAGATGGTGTTTTCTTTTATTTAAAGGAGGCATGATTAATATGGGTTAAATCTAATAAAAATTAAAGCTGTAATCTCTTTACACAATTTTGTTATAATGTCTTTAGTGTTTTTTTTTAAGAATTTATTGGGGGGGTTTTTTTTTTCTTAAAAAAAAAAAATAAGCTGGTCTACTTTATAACTTTATGACTTTATAAATATTAGAGATTTATAGATATATATGACAGGTCTACTTTATAGCCTTATGAATACTGAAGCTTCCAGATCTATATATTGTAGAACCCAAGTCCACAGAGTTCATGCTATGTCTTGTACTTATTTTATTATGTATTTTGCTTCTTATTCTAACACTTATAAATGATTTCAAGAAAATAAAGTATAGGTTTGAGCTTACAGATTGAATCTTATCATTATTTATTTATTTGCTTTCATGTATTATTACATCACTTATCCTCACAATTGACTTTAAAATTCCATTGTCTTGAATAAACTTCTATATTGTACCTGCAATTATGTAGATCTAGCTAAATTATGATTTTACTCATACAATATCTAAAAAGAGCTAACCCGGCACTAAATCTATATTTGACCAATCATATCCTAATCTTATATAACTGAATCATGAAATTTAATTGGATAATTAATCAATCATATGATTTGTAACACCCTGAAATTTTGGCCACAAAAGTCATATGATGTTGATTCTAGGCTTCTTGCACCATACAAATATATTTTTCTTTTTTTTTTTTGTTTCTAGAAGCTTTCAGCAGATAAAAATTGGTATGCTATGTTATGTTTAATATACAATAGTTGCTGTTTGTAACATAAGTAGCTTCAATTATAGTTGGTAAATCAAAAGCTAGAAGTATATCTGAAGAAATCCAAAAATTATCTATTTGACTAGTTGAATTAGGACCATGCTAAGTAGGTGTTTGTATATTATGAAAATCTAATAGGCTAGTTAGGTTGGCAGCATTTAGATTAGTAAAAATTGAAAGTTGTTTGTTTCTGTGCTGATTTGCATTAAAGTCATCCAAGATAATCAAATGCCAGTTTCAAGATCTGACTTCTGCAACCTAGAAACAAATTTGGGATTGTGTCTGTCTTAAAAGTGAAGAATAATTTGAAAAAAAATATGCTGAAATAATGTGAGACTTGTTGTTATTTGGAAAAAAAAAGTTGATACAAATTGTAGTGCCAGATAGAATATTGATGTTATATATATAGAGCTATAATTGGTTGTAGACTAATAAAGCTGTTCTTAGACTAGCCTCTCTTTGATTCGAGTTATATGATGAAAAGTTAGAGGTATATATTTTGTAAAAAGGATTGATATAAGATTTTGCTGCTAAGTTTTTTAGTTTAGTTTCAGTTATAGAGATTATATATAGATTTGATTTTATATAATGTTTGATCCAGTTTTGCATTTTTAGTATATTGTTAATGCCTCTAATGTTGTATGTAGTTATGTTAATTTTTTTATTTAAATTTAGTTTAATTTTTTTAAATTTATTTTCATTATTTGCTAAAGACAGATTGTTTATATAATAGCTTATGCTTATTAGTAATCCATATTATCATTCTCTTCCCTATTTAATATTTTATATATGTAGTTGTTATTTGTTTTGATATGTCAAAAATTTTAAAAGATGGTTCAGGTAAGTTTATGAGATTAAAAATGTATTTTGATAAAGAGTGATAGGCAAAGTTTTGTCTAAAAGTTTCTATAACTAATTGAATATTATGATGCTTTTGTACTGGAATATGTATATTTAAAATTTGTTTTTGTTCAAGGGCCAAACAAAGTTGTTCTACTGTTGATGGTAGTTTGGGCAAAACTGATCTAGTTTCTAGTTGTCTTTTTTTTCTTTTTATCTAAATTCAAGACTAAGGTATAGCATGAAAATAATAGTGCTCTTGTAATACTTTAACTGCTATACTTAGCTCTTTAGAGATTGATGTTGGTAAAATTAGATTGACCAAAGTAACTAAATTGGTATCTTCAAGCAGATCTGAGTGATCTGTGTAATTAAAGTTGCAATAAGCTTGTAGCAATAGTGATGGGATATTGTAGATTCATAAGACATATTTGATAAAAGAATTCACTTCTTCTGTGCTCTATAAAGGAAATGTAAAATTGGACATTTTTAAATTTGTTAGATCTAAAAGTAGTCATTTTCGAGAGATAATATAGTCATTAAGTAGTCTGGTAAAAAAATAGTCCATGTGTAGTAATCTGATATGTTTCTTAAAATTATTTTAACTTTTAGGTAGAAAAGAGAATCTCTCTCTTAATCTGAATGTTAGGTTTTGTGAAGTAGAAGTCAAGGGGCATTTTAGTACTAGTAAATCAAAGTATTCAGCTGAAATTTGCTAAAAAATATAATATTTTTGTAAGGTCTCTCTATAGTAAACTAGCTTTTTCAGCTTAGCTTTGTCTACAATAGGAAAAAGGTGTTGTATTTTATTTCTTAAGTCTTTATATGAAGCTGGTAAATTTTCATAATTGTCTGTGATATATTTATTTAGTAGCTTATTGAAGAAGAATATTAGACACAGTGTTCTAACTGCTAGTATAAGAACCTATCAGCTTGTGATAGGTAAGTTAAAAGAAATAGTTTGAGACAAATGATTTGAAATGAGCTCTGATCTGTTAGGCATAGAAATTAGCATTTCATTCATTAGTTCTAAAACAGCCTTCTTGTTGTTTTAAAGTCTAAATTCTGTTAAATTTTTGCAAAATCAATTAAGTAGAAAATATATTTTGTGATTTTCCAAGCATCTAAAAGGTTAAAGTTCAAGTTGATTAAGTAATCTAGTGTCAGTTTTGTATACAACAATTTGAAAATTTGGTCTCAGTTTTTTTTATTGATAGCTAGTATGTTATGCTGTTTTTTATATACATCCAATGCATTAGAAAATAAGCTGTTGAATTTATACTAGTATTGTGGTCTAATTGCTAAAACTCAAGTAAAGCTTCTAAAGAAGGCCATGTCTCTGTAAAAGAATTTTGCTTTTATTGCTATTGAAATATGAATAGTAGTTGGTTTTGTTAACAACTTGTATCTAATTAGTTTTTTCAGGTTTCGAAGTGAGGTTAGTGCATTTTTGGTTTTTTGTTGTATCCAAATTGTTAAATCAAATGATTCTAGTTTTTCTTGTCTAATTTTTTCTAGAGCTGTCTATGTATGATTTTTCTATTCTTTTTTTTTTATCAGCTTGGAAATGAGGGTTTGGAGTTTTTCTAGTTCTTTCTAAAAGGTTTTTAACTAGTGCTTGGCTGTACAATATTTTTTTTTTGTAGCTGTTCTTCAAGTATTGTATCAGTTGATCAGGTTTCTTTATTGTTGTTATCCTCTATGTTTGTTGATGTGTACTTTACTTCTATATTGGGTTGTTGTTCTAATATGCTAACATTTAAGTTAGACTGGAGCATTTGGTTGAATAAGGCTAAGTTGTTTGTTTTTTCTATTTGCATTGACAAAAGAGAAGCAGCATCTATATTGTTAGGGTTCTGGATTAGGTCTTGCTCAGTTTGGTTATCTGTAAGAAGATTGAAGATTATGGTTGTTGTTGTTGTATGTAGTAATATCATTGCTAGATTTTTTGAAATATGTTAAAATCTTTATTTTTTTAATTTTTTTTTTGTTAGTATTTTTTTCTATTGTTTGCTTATATAGGGATAGCAATTTTGCTATTAGTTTTACACTTCTTCTTGTTGTTCTGTTTATTCATAGTTTTTTAAATGAATCATATTTGTGTATATTGTTTGGAATATTTGGCTTGGAGCTTATCATTATCTTTGCTAATATTGGTTCCAGTTGCTGACTTAGTTGGCAACAATAGTGAAAAGGAAACTGGAGTGCAAAAAGCTTTCTTGTAGCTTTATTTAATTCTGTTGAAGTTTATGTTGTGCTGTTTGTTAATACTAGTATTTAGTTAATTAGTTAAAATATGTTTTAGTTTAGCATTTTTTAAAAAAAATTTTTGTTTTTTTAATTTTGCTATAAAATTAGGATTTTTGTGAAAGAGTTTATAAATTAGATTCAACTTTTAATGAATAGTTTACTTAAATATAATTAATACAACTATTATAATAATTACTGTGATAGATAAATATTATGTGTTTGTATGAGTAATCAAATTATATATATTATTGTACTGTAAAAAGAAAAGAAGTTTAAATTTAATAAAAGAAGATTAGAAATTATTAGATATATTAAAGTCTTTTATAATAATAGATAATATGTTTTTATGCTCTACTTTTTGTATTTATTGTATAATAGTATTTTGAATAAGAAGTCTGAATTGTAAATCATCATATAATAGATAAATAAATATAATATAGAATTTAAAATTATGTTTGAAGAATTAGTTGATTATAATAACATATCTATAGAATTGAAGAATTATATATTTAAAATAGTTTTGTATTATATTATAGTTTCAAATTTAGAAATATTAAAATATGATCAATAATAAAAGTAATGTTAAGATTTTTGTAGTTTAATAATTGCATAATCTTGTAATATCTTGGTTTTGGTAATACTAATAATGTTTAAGTTATTAGATAAGCATTAGTGTGTTATAAAAAAGAAATAATAGCTTATAGATAAGAAAATAATAGAAGATAATTGTATAATAAAAATTTGTTATAATAGATTTTGAATTAAATATGATTAAAATGTTATTTAATTGATGATCTATCAGTCAATTAGAGAATGATCATAGTGTAATATGATGCAGATCACTTATAAAAATTAGAAGTTTGTAAATATAACATAGTTACATTATAACTTCACAACAAACTAACATCTATACAACATTACAAAGATATGTGCCTAATAGTCTTATTTCATCAATCAGACTATTTACTCAATTACAAACAGAAGCAAAAAATATTACCACTAAACTCCTACATAAGCTGTCTTAAAAAGTTTATGAACAAATATAAAAACTATATTATACAAAACTGGCATAATGGAAAAATAATAATAACATTTTACAGTATATTAAAAATTAACAAAGAAGACT